TATATATATATATCAAAATATTCACTGCGTTACTGTTCAGGTAGTTTCTATTCCTGTTTAGCTTTACATCAACATTTGTTTTAGGATAATTAGCTTTTTTTTACCTTGTAAATAGTTGATACCAAAATATCACAATAAGTATTCTGAGTACCATCAGAGGTACTTGTACATAGTTTGAGAACCATGGAGGTGCAGAAAATATCTACACACAGTCATAATATAAGTGGTTATTTCTGTTTATTTTCATGATTAGATTACAGCTAATTCAGTTCCTCAAAATAATAAAAAATATTTTAAAAAACAATACAAAAATAATTTTAGGGTCAGGAATGTTGGCTCTGGCAGCCATTTCAATTGGGTTTGCTCCAAGCATTTTAAACTGTGTGTTAAGAATATGTGTTGTGGTTGACTCTGAGCTACGACCACACATTGGATATATTACTGGTTTTCTCTTCTATGACCTGACCGTGGAGGCCATCTTGAATCAAATAGACTGTAAACGTTGCTGAGTTGTACAGCTAGTGATTATTTCTTTAGGATGATGGCTCATAGCTGCTTTAACACACACCAGGATGTTTCAACAAACTGTTTCTGTAAAGGTGTTCATGTTTGCTGACGATACACTACTTAACTGTGTTTGATTAACAGAATCTAGCTTCAACTTATTCATCTAATTTCTATAAAAAAACAAAGTGGAGTTTTCACAGACTGCTTTTGACTTTTGTCTTAATTATTAAATCCATGTGCTCACCACATCTGACTTGGTGGTGAACTTGTGAGTCTGCAGACTCTCCAGAGCCATCCACTTGACGGGCAGCTTGACTCCACTCTTGTTGTGGACGCTGTAATATTCTTTGTCATAAACATCTCTGGCCAGGCCAAAGTCAGCCACTTTTACTGTGTAGTTCTCATCCAGCCTGTCAGGACACAGAAAAAAAGCCAAAGGTTTACCCGCTTTCTCCATAATTTCAACCAACTAAATATCAACTAAAACAACAGAGGGTGAAAAAATTTCAAACTTGACCTGCTCCAGAAAAAATAGTGGTGTGAAATTGGTGCAGTTTCTCTCAGTTTGAGCTAGAGCAGAGATTCTTAACCCATGGGCCGTGGCCTACAATTGGGCCGCAAAAGAACAACAGTTTTTAACTTTGGGCCGCAGAGGGCCGTGGGACCGCATTGATTTTAAATAAGATGCAATACACTCTCTCACCACTAGTAGAGGTAGTACACCACTCAGATGTTTAATAACTTTTTGAAGATGTAGAAGAAGAACCTTAGAAACCTGCCGAGAATGGAAACTTATTTTAAATGAAAAGTAGAAGCAAAAATGAAAGTAACTAAACAAAAACCACTAAAGTTTGTCACTAATATGAAGAGCAGCTTCTGGCTACAAAAGTTTTAAAATGCTGTATTTTCATTTGTACTTTATCAAATTTATTTTTACAGTTTTTTTATTTGAAACATTAAACATTTTTAATTTATTTATTTTATGCCCACATTTTTATTTTTTCAATTGTCTATTTTTGTTATTGTTTATATAAATATATATTTGTGCTGATAAGCCTGAGTGGTCTGTTGACTGACCTTTGTATTTGCTGAAATAATTGTTATGGGCAGGTTACAACATAAAAATGTTTGTCATAATCATGTCTTGTGATTATTTGACAGGAGCTTTAATTTTAAACTGTAAGTGTATTTAATTTAGTTATGATAGTTTAGTTATGATGTAAATACAATAAAGATTAAACCAAGATTTAGAATAATTATCATTTTCATCCATACATTGGTAATGTCTGACTGGGCCTCGTGACACTTTATGTTCAACAAACTGGGCCCCGAGGTCAAAAAGGTTAAGAACCCCTGAGTTACAGAATAGTGTCAAAAACTTTCAAATAGGGATCTCTGCAGACCAGTTTTCCAGTGGGTGGGCATGGTCCTACCCATGATTGGCGGAGGTCTTGATGCAGGCGTAGTTGGCCCTACCTGTGATTGGTGGAAGTCTTGATGTGGGCGTGGTTTTCCCTAACCATAATTGGTCGGACTGACTTGTCTGCAGGGCAACTCAAAAGAGGAAGCAATGGTAATACTAAAATAAAATGAGTTATTGACCGTCTACGTACCATTTGAAACAGAACAATTAAATCAAATAATAATTACTGCGAACATCTAAAAATAATTTATTAATTTTTGAATTTCGTGCAGTTAGCACATCACTGTCTCTATTTATGACTAATATTCATATTCATATTTATTTTTATCAATCTTTTTACAGGCTGGTTAGGGATGTTTTGACCAAGCCAAATTGTTGTACGTCCCACCACGTGTACGACGTTCAAGCTTCGTGCTGCCTAGCAACTTCCTGTCCCAAGTTATGACTAAAACGAATCTTTATATTTAAAAAGCATTGATGCTTCATGCACGACTCAGCTGAGCTACTCCCTGCTGTCCCCCCAGCGTCTTCAAACTCCAGCGTCAATCTGACCATTCACATCTTGGGCCATCTCCTCCCACACAGTGAGAAACTCCTACTTAGTGACTGCAGAGACCCCCTTCTCAAAACCTTTTTCGTTTTTTTTTTGTTAAACTTCATTTTGTGTCATAATTAGACATCCTTTGCCACAGTTCATATGAACAAAACGCTTATCATAATATGATTAAACAGGAGCTCACATGCAGTTCCTGGCAGCCAGGTCTCGGTGGACAAACTTCTTGCTGGCTAGATACTCCATCCCTCTGGCCACCTGCAGTCCGAAGCCCATCAGGTCCTTCACTGTTGGGTTCTGTAAGACGTTCATCTGTTTTGTACGTCGTCTTGTGTGAACAGGTAAAAGCTTTAATGTGCCTGAAATCTTACATGTGCCTCATCACGGATGAAGTTGCGCAGGTCGCCATGCTTCATGTAGGGCAGGACCACCAGGGGTGAGCCCTCTGGTGGAAGACAAATACCCAGCAGTGAGAGGACATTGGGGTGGCTGAAATCCTTCATGATGATGCCCTCCTTCAGGAACTGGGACACCTCTTCCAAGTCTGTGATGCCTTTGAAAAGGAAAACAGAGCATGATGGTTTTAAATGGAAAAGCTAAAACTAGCCAGCAGACATAGCGCTGCAGGGATGATGATTGTTAAACTGTAGTATTTGTATTGTTCTGACATCAGTGTTCAGGTCTTTCATTGGGCCTCTTTGGGGACAGATGATGGTGGACGCCTAACCCGAAAAATAAATAAAAACACCCACATCCATTTGCCAAATGCATGTCTGCTTCAGGCATCCTGCACTTTAGCCTCCCTGACTCGGCTGTAATCTGGTTAGAGAAGGGGGCTCTTTGGGTGGACGATTAGCCTTCAGCTGGGGTCAGAGCCCAGACACAGAAAGAGACAAAATGCCAGTTTGAAAACCTTTGAAAGTTACAGAAAACAATCATTTTTACTTAAAAAAAAAACAGGATTGATGCTAGCTACTACAAAAGCAATCCATTTGTAAAATCCAGATCATGATTTTGTTCATTTTTCTTCCAACCGAGTGTCTAGAGACCACTAAAATAAGATAAAAGCATGATGTCATCATCCTGAACACAACAAAAGTTAAAAACAATAAAACCGTGTCCATAAAGTTTCATTCAATTTGATTTCAAATCCCCAGGGAGCAGACCCAGTCCACAGTGGTCGGTGGCTCCCTGCGACTGCCTTGGTTATTCCTCCGTATGGTTCCAGCATCCATCTCCCTGCCCCAGCTGACAGATTATACGATTAGACGGGACCCTAATGTCGTCCTCACCACTGGACGCTCATTCATCACCATTAGCTTGAGCTGAAAGGGATTCCCGGCTCCGCTCAGATGAGAATCATGAAGCTACTGGGGGCGGTGTAATACCTTACAATAGGGATCAAATCCAGTGGAGACAGATGACGGAGTGGCTCATTGAGATGGACATGAACACGTTTGGACACGAGTTGAGTTGATTGGTGGCTGTCATGGTGAAATGTAAGCATTCTGTTTTACAGATCAGATCAAAAGCATTGTGTGTTTAAATGAGATAATATCACCTCAGAGCAACAAAACACCTGAACTGCTGAACTGTGTCATCATCTATTTAATAAAAAAACAAGCTCAGGGTGTGAAAAACAAAGTACTTTTCATGATTGACTGGTTTGTAAAACCACTTTTAGCAGGAAGAACTTAAACCAGGGCTGTTCAACTAAATCACTCCGGGCCACAGTTACTGCAGACCAACAGCTGAAGGGCCGAACATCCAGCAATTAAAGTCATTATGTAATTAAACCAAGTATTACAAAGATCTGTTACCTTTGAAATTGTTTATTTTGCTGTATTTAATCATGAATACAACATACAGAACGCTATGTAATAAAAGTAGAGATAATAAAACAAAAACACACATTATGCCTCCTATTTACCACAAATATTATTTTGGCATCTCTAAACCAATTTTATTTACACTTTCACATTTTTATCTTCAACTGCTTGTAGTTTTAACTGTCTTGGAGGTTCATAGAAATGATTTTTACCAGCTTATAGGAGCGTAAGAGATGAATGAACCAATTGGTGGGCCCAACTTTGGTCACTCGCCCTGACTTGAACTAATTCTAATCTTTACGATGCATCCAGTTCTCATGTCACTGCAGACAAATTATGGTCCAATTTTCTTTATAAAACTGTTTTAGTTCATTGAAGTTGCTGGCATTTGTTCACATACAGCCAGAGGCAGAAATACTGGGGGGCTCAGGGTTCCTCCAGTTTTAGAAAAACTGAGAAAGTCCACCCAATAAAACATTTGAAGAAACCATACTTTATAAACTGTAAAGTCTGAGTTACCAGTCCAGTGAGATTCAACCTTTACTGTTACCATAAAGCTGCTTATCAACGTGTTCAGTCAGGAAAATATTTTATATTAGTTCTTTATTTAAAACAGTAGGAACAAAGTTTGAAATATTTCTTTTTCTGATTTATGCTGTTTTGTGCTGTTTACCACCGTTTACAGCTCATTTCCTCTCACCTGCTTCTTTCACCAGCTTCTTTTTGTAAGTTTCAGCTTTTTTCTGCTCCTTTCAACTTTCATCTATCTGCTAGTTTAACCTTTTTCTGCTCCTTTTGTCTGATTTCTGCTAATTTCAGCATTATTTCTGTCATAGGTTGCTTTCTAGAATGATGAACTAAGCTAAAAGCTAATTTAACCCTTTCTGTGTTCATTTCAGCTTTTTCCTGTTAAAGTAATCAAACGTGTTCTTTTAATTTAGCTCAATTTAGCTTTTTTCTGCTAGTTTCAGTTTTTTCTGTTACTTTCAGCTTGTTTGCAGTCACACTGCATTTTCAGATGAAATGCCATTTTCTCTAGTGTGTGTTTTAATTCTTAAACTATATTGACTGGTTGAGAGGTGCTGCTGTGACGTTTCCTGAGCAGGTGATGTTTTCAGCATCGGTTGCCACAATAACACACACCGGTAGAATATAAACAGCTTTATGACTCTGAAAACTGAGCCTGAAGTTACCTCAGTGAGACATTAATCCTGCAACGTCATAAAGGGCTCAGGTCTACAGAACAAATCCACATCACTCGCACTCCACACCTGTACTGTATCTAACAGCTGTAAGGTGTTTCTTCTTTCTACTTTACCAACTTGATCTGATTCAGGGTAGCTTATTTCTGGCAGTTCTTTGATAAAAGGTGGGGTACGTCCTGGACAGGTCACCAGGCCATCAAAAGACTGGAGACCTGTCCAGGTGACCAGACAGCCATGTTTGCACACGCCCATGCAGAAAGGCTTCGACAGAGGTTTGAACTAAAAACTGAGAGTGTGCTCTTTTCTTTATCACTTCTTCCATCAGGGGGTTTATTACCTCTGCCAATGGAGGAGGTAATGTTGTCTGTCTGTCTGTCTGTCTGTCTGTCTGTCTGTCTGTGGACAAAATTACTCAAAAACGTATGGAGGGATTTTCATGAAATTTTCAATACAAGTGGGTATTGGCCAAAGGAACACACCATTAAATTTTGGTGATGATCCGGATCACGATTCGGACCCAGGAACAGCCAATCAGCTTCAAGGAAGCTGACCGTAGACTTCCAATCACATCAGATCATCGTAGACGGGTCAACCCCCCGACTGTATACATCCAACGGGATTGCCTGAAGCGGTGTAAAACACCAATCACAAAGGTGCATGGAAATACAACTTTAGACCGAACTGTTTTTAAATCGAAAAACTTACTGTTTGAAGTTAATTTCATGTAACAACAGAACCTTTTCATAATACATCAGTCTGCGCGTCCTAACAATTTTGTATTTTGTGTTTACGTTTTTGGAG